CAGCGTATAAATAACAAACCGTTGTCAACACATGTAAATAATAACCATTGCATACAGTTTTGCTTTCTACGATTTGTTATAGTTAAAGATATAAAGATTTTAAGATTTTGAATGCATAATAATGAAATTTAGTTCGATGTAAAACTGTTCACAATCTGTAAATGATGAACGTATTCAAAGGAAAAACGGTAAGAAAAAAAAATGATTGTAAAATTTGTTAGTGTTTGTTAAGTATACCCTGCTTATTTTTGAAATATAATATTCATATAATATGGTATTCTTGGATACGACATATTACGATTGTTTATTTATCCTGAACTCGTGTATGAATACTAGTTCAATTTTGAACACAACCATCAAAATAAATCATAATAATGTCTAGATGCTTGACTGATGTTTTGAATGCAAATGTTGAAATGTATAATATAAATAATAACAACTATAAAACATAAGTGTTGAAGTTTTACGAGTTATGTGCATTTTTTATAAGCATAATATTATGATTTAACACTTTTACCGTCTCTTATAAGTCACTTATTTTATATTTATGTTATCAACATTATATTATGGAGTATGGACAGTAAAAAAATTATTCAAAAATCAATTAAATAATTATTAGTTTCTAAATCAAATATCTGACATATAATATCGAAACCAYTTTCTGAAAAACTAAACAAAAATTAAACATTAACTATATAATAGCCTCAAACAATTTAATTTATTTTATTTTTGGTTGTGAAGATTTGCTCAAAATTAATTTACTAAATATTTAAAGACACATTTTTTACAAGAGTGCATACTGCATAGTGCATACACCCATTCATACATAATTCAGTTAGGTGTTTAGTTGGCATGTTAATTATTAATACAAATTATCTAATTCATATGATTGTTAATTTATTCCGCATTTTTCAATAGGTCTTTAGAATTTACAATATAAAAATATTAATTTACAATTATTGTTACATAAATGATTTGAATAAATCAATTTTGAACTGGTTATTGCTTATCTTATCCACTCTCTAGTCACCAAAGAAAAAAAACTTTTAGTTTAGGTACCTGTATGATATTAATTCAATGTCAAATATTTTACTTTCTTTTAGCTATTTCATATTTGATTTAAATAGAACTTATATTTCATTCGCCAGAGTCCTAAAATAGACTTCTACGAATTATTTTATGATCGAGAAAGTTGTTTTATCAGAAAAATAATTTTGTCCTTGAACATCTTGAACGATAATACAATTATTTTTAAAATTCYTTTTTTATGTATCACTTGGACGTACGTCGTACATAATTATATTGTTTTATCAGCTATCTACCTAAATTTTATTATTTCTTTTCGGATTATTTTTATTACTTCAGAAGCTCAATGTCACATTCGCTATTTTATTATTCATCAGAAAATATTGAATCTAAATAGGTTAGGTCACTCAGAAAGTGGAACTTAAAATATAAATATATAATGGATATTGATTAAATAAGTTAACAAGAAATAAAATAAAATTGAGGATCAATAAACAAAGGTGAAAATCTAGTAAAAACAAAAATCATGAATATTAAAGTATTATAGACTTAAATACTATATACTATATAGCTTATTATAGGCCCATGAATTGACTATCACTATGTGAATCAATCTATTATGCAATCTTGCGGTCGGCATGACTATAAAATCCGGAGATCCCATTCGACCACGTATACAACAATACCGTATAAAGTTTCGAATGAACTTGAGTGCTCTACTTAACATTAAGTAGGTCACTGRCCACTGCAATTTTAGTGTTGAATTTGAATTAAATGATAAATCGTTGAACACAAAGAGTTTTTAATTCGACTGGTAATCGAAAGCTCGAAAATCAAAACAATTATTATTTATAATAAAATTATTATATAACCTCGCAACAATTCGTCGATAGTGATTGAACATTTATAACGTTTTCTCACATCGTTAGTCGTTACATGTTTCTTACGTTTTTACTATCTGTTCAGGCAAACTTTTAAGCCGTTAAAATGGCGTTTTCATTAATTTATACATTATTCTATCATCTAATAGGTTATTACTTTATTACCATTACGTTCCTTTTGACGACTGCAGTTAATCACTTGTTTTCTTTTACATGAATGCAGTTATTGAGTATACCTATACATACTTCCTCCATTATCGCTTTTTGCTTTAACTCAGTGGTGTATTTGGGAGAGGGTATCTTGAGGGTTAAAACTCTCGCCCAATCTTTTTTTCTAAATTCTATTTATTACTTAAGTATTGCAAAATATTATTGACAAATGACAAAATATTTTAAAACTGCTTTAAAAATTGAATAATGTATTTGTTTAATTTTAAGCCAGATAATAGGTATTACTCTATTATCATTGATTTTATAGTTAGCAAAATTTGATTTGAACTTCCAGTAAG